TTCTCCTGCCCGGGGCGTCGGGCTCCAGCTGCCGCCGGGGCTGCGGGGCAGGCGGTGGGGCTGGGCTGGAGAAGGCGCCGCACGCCCAGACCTCGGGGCGGCTCCTTCCCTACTCTGGGGCCGCGCAGGGAGCCGCGGGGTCTGCGCCCCCGTTCCTGGGCTGAGCCCTGAAGCCAGGTGGGGGGAGCCGAGCCCCCACCCTAGGGCGTCGCGTTCGGGGTGCAGGTGGGAGAAAAGCGGGTTCCAGACCCCGCTGGGCGGGGTCAGTCCAAACCCGTCTCCTCTCGCTGTTATTTTATCTTACACGTAAACAAGCCCCCCCCCCGCCCCCCATGGTCTGCCTGTCCCGGGGGCAGCCCCCCTCCCAGAGCGGAGTGTAAAGCGAACTCCGGAGCCGCGCCTGTTTACAAGTGGCGGGGAGGTGGCTGGCGCTGCCCTGCTCCAGGCGACGTGACCTGGGAGTTAACTACATGGGAGCAGCCAGAGCCTTGCTGGCCATGTGTCCCCCGACAGCCCGGCCATTTACAGCCCCTGCCCCTGCCCCTCCCTAGCCCCCCGTCCAGCCTGCAGCCTGGCCCCCCATGCGCCCTCCCACCAGGGATCCCCCCCCTTTGGGAGGCTAGGGGAGCATGCATTGTGCTTCCCCCACCCCTGGCTGGGAGTTGGGGGGCATGCAGGGACCCCCGTCTCTTCGCGGGGCATGGCTGGGAGGCGGGCAGGGCTTTGTCAGCAGCTTGGCCTGGGCTGGCACAGGAGGGCGCCTGGTGCTTGGAGCCGGCGGCCTGCGGGACCCCATTGTTCACGGTGCCTCCCCCTGGCTGCCTCCCACCCGGCTACTTGTTGGCGCTGCGTGTGCACATGTCTCTGTCTCTTCTTTTCATTGTGAGTCCTTCCATTCCAGGCACGTGACCTGCCTTGTAGTTGCCATGCCAACTCCCTGGAACCATGGTTCCCCCTCTCTCACATGGTTGCCTGGATACCAGTTATCCCTGCCTGGTCTGGAAGGATGCTCTTGTCTTGCGTGCTCCCCTTCTCCCCTCTTTCACAGGCAGCCACACAAGCGTGTGCACACCCGTACAACCCAAGGGCAGAGATACCTTACGGATATCCGTGCTAGGAGCATAGTCTCAGGCATCCTCTAATGCACACATACCGTGTGATCCGCTTCTATACACTCATATGAGCAGGCGCACACAGTCGCTCTCACAAACAGTCACCATGCACAGTCTCTCTCTCTCTCTCTCTCTCTCTCACACACACACACACACACACACACACACACACCCCACCTTGTATACTCATCCAGACATATGCACAGACAGCCTCCAATACACACGTGCACACACCTCTTCTCACAATCACAGACATCACTTACACACCCTCACATCCACTCACACACACGTTCCCATAGGCACAGCCACATCTGGAAAGCAGTCCTTTTAATCTGATTTTAGAAAAAAAAATCCCCCTTGTTCAATTGGGTGTTGTAATCCATGTGGATTTGGAGAAGAACGAAGGAGCATCTAGTTGTGTATATCAAAATATGTTGAAATACATTTTCTTATGTTATTAAATATTTTAATAAAGCTGCAGTAATATAAACCAATCAAACACTTTATCCTGCAGAGGAAAAGGGAGGCCCTATCCATATCTAGCTATATCTTCAAGTAGAGTCCTGAACATTGTAATCTGACTCCATGCAATGGAGTTCAGAGCCTGAAGGAGTGATTCGCAGGAGGGGCAGTGACAGGTGGCATATCTGGAGCTGTATAAGCTTTACAACATGAAAGAGCAGCCTCTGAAGAAACGTTTTCAAAGCTGCATGCGGATTATGACTTACATGAGATTCCCTTGTACCATTTCAATGTACACCACCTGTTTGGAGGTGTCGTTGTGCGCCCTGTTCTCAGCTCGTCATGAAATTTCTACTCCTGTAGGTTGTTTTCACTAGCACCTAACTCTGTGTTGAAAACAAAAAGAAAACCTTATTAAGCAGAGGGAAGCTCCAGAGAATTAAATTCCTTTTCCCATATGGAAAATGTTTCTGCAGAAATAACAGCGTGGCTTTGAGTCGAGCAGCAGGGGAACAGTAGCTGAGGAATGACAGATAACGTTTTAGATTCACAGCTGTTCTAGACGCTGCAAACCAAGGACAATAGTTGCTAATTCCAGGCTGAGGGGACATGTATAAAACAACATCAGTGTTATGATGTCCTCTGTAGACTCGCTGAGGAGTCTGACTGATGTGGGGTAAGTTGGTTGCCATCTTTTTGCTATGAGAGTTGTGCTTTACTTTTAGGTTTTAATTACGTGTGATTGCTTGACATATGTCGGGCTGGATAAAATATCGCACATAGGTGTGAATTTGTCAGTAGTCTAAACTTCTGTAATGGGGACAACTTTCATGGAGGATAGGTTCATCAATGGCTATTAGCCAGGATGGGCAGGGATGCAAAACCATGCTCTGAGTGTCCCTAGGCTCTGTTTTCCAAAAGCTGGGAATGGGCGAAAGGGGGTGGATCACTTGATTATTACCTGTTCTGTTCATTCCCTCTGAAGCAGCTGGCACTGGCCACTGGGCTACATGGACCATTGGTCTGACCCAGTTTGGCTGTTCTTATGTTCTTAAATATGTCAAACTAGAAACTTAAATCTATTCCTCTCACATGTTTGCCCTCATGGTGTTTCTTTCCATAATTGCAAATTATTCAAGGACTGGTTCTGGCACTTGCTCAAACAGGGGCATGAATAAGTGCTACTCCTGAGGGCATTCTGCGCCAAATTTTTAAAATTCTGCAAACTTTATTTGTCAAATAAATGCAGAGGATCCAACCTGGCATTGGGGAGCACAGGCCACTGGATGCACAGAGATGGGAGATCACGGTGCAGCCCCTCCCCGGGACATGGACTCAGCGGTGAGGGGCACCCAACCCTGACACAGCACAAGGACCAGAAACACTGCAGGGCCCTGCATCTCCATGCCAGGGGCACCCGGTGTGGGCATGCAGGCTCGGAAAGGCAGGATCCAAGTGTGGAGGGGGTTAGTGTGGGGGGATCCAGGTGTGGGTTGAGAGGGGTCTGTGTGGGGCAATCTGGGTGCGGGCGGCTCAGTGGAGGATCTGGGTGTGTGTGTGTGGGGGATCTGGATGCACAGGGGCTTGTTGGGGGGTTCTGGGAGCAATGGTAATGGGACTCTGCAGTGGGGTCCAGGTGAAGGTGGTTGGGGCTCAGCAGGGGGGGGTCTGGGTGTGGAGGACTCAGTGGGGGGCCCAGGTACTGGGGGAGTGGGGCTCAGTGGGGTGGGGATCCACGTGTAGCTGGTTGGGGTTCAGTAGGGTGGGAGTCTGGGTGCGGGTGGCTCGTCAGGGTGGTCCAGGTGTGGGAGGGGTGGGGCTTATCAGGGGGAGGTGTTTCTGAGTGTGGGGGGTGAGGCTCGGTGGGAGGGTCTGGGTATGAGTGGGTCTGGATGCGAGGGGGTTGGGCGCATGGGGGAGCAGCTCCCTGTTCAGGGATCCCTCTCCCTGCAGCTGAGGAGCGATGGATGCAGGAAGCAGGGGTGGGGAGAGTTTGCAGAGATTCCTGCAGCTGGGGGAGAAATCTGGGGATGAGTCCGACCCAGCCCCCGATGCTGTGCAGGGGAAGAGGAACTTCCGTCCTGCCCAGCTGGGATTAGCAGCTGAGCCCAGCACAAGGGTAGGAGTCACCACCCACTCCTGCCCCTGCCCCACAGCGATTTACCTCTCTGCCGGCTGCCCGGCACCTGAAACATACTGCTCGGGAGGGTCGCTCTTGAGGCTTCCCTTTGCTTCCCTGTCAGAATTCATTTTTCTGCGGGGAAGCAAATAAATCTGTGGGTGACATAAGTTTTGTGCATGCGCAGTGGCACATAATTCTCCCCAGGAGTACAGTGCAAAGCATGAGTATAATCAGAACCAG